GGGGGGGGGGGGGAGTGTCCCCCTATGTCTGCAGGTACCAGGGTAAAAGGGACTCTGGGTGTTGGGGGCGAGGGGGGGTGTGGAGGTGGGATGGACGTGACAGTAGGTCCTGGGGCAACTGTAGGTCCCGGGGCTACCGAGGGCGCTGGGGTGGCTGAGGGTCCCAGGGTGTCCGAGGGTTCCACCTTACCCCCCCAGCTGCAGCCCCTCGCTGACCAGACTCATTTCCGACCATTCCATCTGGGCAGCGATTCCCCCTCCGGCTCCTCCCCACTGTCCCCCACTCCAGGGGGGACCACCCGTGGGTCTCCGGGCCTCCGCTCCCCAGCGCCTTCGGGACACGCTGACGGGATCCCAGCAGCCCCAGGACCTGCCGGGGCAAAGGCCGGGTGGTGGGATCTGACCTAAGGGCACGCGCCAGCGCCCGGGATTGTTTTTTATTCCAGGCTGCATAGCGGCAAAACACTGAGTGAGATGGTTTTGAAGGGCTCGGCCCTGCCGTTGTCTCCTCCATCTCATGCACCTCCCACCCCGCCATCATCTTCTCTCTCTGACTCATGGAGCTCCCATCTCGCCACCGTCTCTTTCATCTCACAGACCTCCCGTCCCACCATCATCTTCACCTCACGGACCTCCCGTCCCACCATCATCTTCACCTCACGGACCTCCCGTCCCACCATCATCTTCACCTCACGGACGTCCCGTCCCACCTGCCCAGCCGGGATGTTCCCAGGCGGAGGGACAGTCTCTGGAACATTTTGGGAAATGACTCGCGATGAGGCTTTGCCTCCACAGCACCAGTTGCCTTCTGATGGCGACCTTCAAACCCATCGTTGAGGCTCCCCTGGATTTGTAGGATGTTCAAAAAACATTGGGAAAGCCCCCAAAACCGCAGTGCTGCCAGCTCCTGTTTTTACTTAGGGTCCTGCAAAGCTGGGGGTCACCTGGCGAGTGTTGGGCTGCGTGGGACAGTCACCCTCCAAGTGTCCCGCACCAGCAACCAGCCACCATCTCACTCCTTCGTGGATTCGTGCTGCACATAATTTATCTTCCAGCCAGGAGAATGTCGGGGATAATAACGCTTTAAGTAATTATTTCTATTTTTTGCCAGCCTGGGGCTTGCGCAGCCCCCCCAGACACATCCGACCCCACACGGGAAGGGTGTCCCCACCACATCTACCCCTAAGGACAGAGCAAGGAGCTGCCCAGGACGGGGCAGCCGGGAACTCCCCATTCAGCACATGGATGGAAATGTTAATTAAAAACAGGGTAATAAAACATCTGGAGGACTGGGAGCTGGGAAGGGCTGGCCAGCACGATACCCTGCAGCTGCCTCTCACTGCTCCTTGAGAAACTTGGGCAGGGGGGACCGGGGTCACCAGTTATTTGGATGTTACAAAAGCCTTTTCATGAAGTATTTCAGGCAAAGCAACTGAAGAACCTTTGTGGAGCGGAGTGAGGGGCTCCCAGCCTGGCGGGGAGGGGTGGGGAGAGTCTTGTGGCCCCTGGGGACCAAAGATTCAGGGTCTGTCTCTGGTATCTGGTGAAAGGGGAGGTGGCAAGTCCAGCTGAAGGTTGGGGTTCACAGTCAGGCTGTGGGTGATGGGGTGGGGTGAAGCCAGTTACTTGGAGATGTTGGGTGAAGCCCATTTGGTGCCATCCTGGCAGCAGGGTGAACACCCGTCCCACCTGTGGGTCCCTGCCACGGGGGAAGGAGCCCACCCTGCAAGAAAAAAGAGGGGAAAAGGGTTTTTCAGTGGGTCTGTTCTCCAGGTTGGCTCAGAGCTGCATGGGCACCGTGGTGGGACCCTGGGACCCTGCTCCTGGTGTGGGGTGGGATGGGGACCCCTCTCTGAGCATCCCGCTGGTGTGGGTGACAGGGAGACCCTGGTGGGATGGGGCCACCTGGGCAGACAGGGGACACTCAGGTATGGTGGGGGCACCTCAGCGGGACAGGGCCACCCTGGAGGGACAGGGTCACCCTGGGTGGGATGGGTGTTCTCCTGCTACATTGGGGCGCCCAAATGGGATAAGGACACCCCAGCAGGACAGGGACACCCTGGTAGGGTGGGGGCAACTTGGGTGGGACGGTGGCACCCAGATAGGGTGGGGGCACCTGAATGGGCAGGGAAGGGAGAACTTACGCAGGATGGGGGTACCCAGATGGGATGAGGTGTCCTGGATGGGATGGGGGGACCCCGGATAGGATGGGGACACCCAGATGGGAAGGGGCACCCTAGGTGGGATGGGAGAACCTCAGATGGGGCACCCTGGATGGGGTAGAGGAACCCTGGATGGAATGGGGGGACCCTGGGCAGGATGGAGGGAACACAGATGGGATGGGGAGACCTGGGATGGGATGAGGATGGGGATGGGGGTGGGATGAGGATGGGAAGACTCTGAGTGGGATGGGGAGACCCCGGACAGGATGGGGGGACCCTGACGGGATGTGGAGGGACCCTGGATGGGACGGGGAGACCCTGGACTGGATGAGGGGAACACAGATGGGATGGGGAGACCGTGAGTGGGGTGGGGGCCCCGGACGTGCCGGGACACGCCGTCGGTCGTCGCCCCGTGGGCAGCGCGCTCGATCCGCTCCGAGCGGGG